GTGTGCTGGTGCGGGGGGCCCCCTCCCCAGCCCCGCCGCACCGGCCGGTTTCCTTGTGTCTGCAGGGGAAGGAGCTCCCTTCAGCTGGGGAGGACGAGAGTTTGCTGCCAGTGAGATCAGAAGCTTTCGGCTGCCCTTGCCACTGCCCAGGCTCACACAAGGTCGCTCCCTGTGGTCAGGGCACACAAAGCTTAATTCTGCAGCGGGCAACCAGCCTACCATGCCCACGGTCCTGCCAAGGCTCTGGAATCAGAAAGAAATGCCTTTCTAGCAGGCTGCGAGGAGAAAACAAAACCACTCCAGCCGGAGAGTGGAGCCCAAGCACGAGGAACGGGTTCACAGAAACAGAAAATGGCAGGGGTTCCCTGGGCAGCCTGTTCCAGGGCTCCGTCACCCTCAGAGGGAAGAAGTTCTTCCTCATGTTCAGACGGAACTTCCTCTGCTTCAGTTTGTGCCCATTGCCCCTTGTCCTGTCGCTGGGCACCACTGAAAAGAGCTTGGCCCTATCCTCCTGACACCCACCCTGCAGATATTTGTAGGTATATTATTAGGTCCCCTCGCAGCCTTCTCTTCTCCAGGCTGAACAAGCCCAGCTCCCTCAGCCTCTCCTCGCAGGAGAGATGCTCCAGTTCATCTTTCCGACAGGGAAACCAAGCGAGGCAGCCGCAGCGGGGCCAGAAGCCCTTCTTGCGTGCCTCCCCAAGGGGAAGTGGGGACATGGGCGGTGACAGCCAGACGCTGGGAGGGACCTGCTTCCCAAAGCTTCACGAGGTCACTGTCCTGGACAGCGGGACTGCAGAGGCAGACAGACCACCGGCACTCACCACCAGCAAGCAGGCAGCATGACAAGGGTGAAGGTCAGTGCTGGAAAGTGCGTCACAGCAACCATGGGAAGGGCGGCTGCAGGAAGAGGACAGGCATCAGCTGAGGGCAAGCTCTGCTGAGGACAAGCCAGAGAAGCAGACAGGGCTTGGGACAGCCAAGGTGGGAGCTGCAAGGAGGGCCCACACCAGAGCTGTGTTCAGTGCTTAGGACCTTCTCGAGAGAAGCAGTTTGCAGCAAAACCAAGGCAACAGTCTCCATCTGACCATGGTCAGCTGCGAAGCCGGCCCCAGGAGGTGGTGCACTGTGTGCATAGCAGCAGAACCAGGCCGTTGTGAGCTTGGAGGTTACAGAGTGGATGATGGAGGTCAAGTTACTCCAAGTGCTACAGTCCCATGTGCCCTCAAAGGGAGCCACCCCTCTCCTTGGGACTGCCAGGACCTGGAAAACCTGGGCAGGGCGGAACTGGGGACTGGTGCTGCAGAAAACTTCCAAACTCACTCAGCCCAGTGACACTTGCTTTGAAACAAGGCCAGCGCTGTGCCGCTCTCCAGCTGGCAGCTGAATTGTGACAACTTAAACAAGCTCTCCCCTTCCCAGTCAGCAGAGCATTCCCACCCTCCTTGCCCCAAAACAATTTCACATGATCTCGGGACCAAGCCTGCTGCACAAACAACATTAAAACCATGAAGAGTACAAAGTGCAGTATTAAAATGACAGGCCAAGCCCTGCCCAACTGTACAATTCTCATCTGTACTGCGCAGCAAGAGCTCAGTTACGCCTGAGAAAAGCTGCTGCATTAGTGTTAGAAGATGAGGCTTGCAGACCAGGGCTGAGTCCCAGCCAGGGAGTCCAGAGAACGTTAGCAGGACCTTTGTTATTTATGCAAAGGCACCCCAGAGCGACGCTCCAAAACCCTGCGACACCGGGCAGGTCTGTTTGCACAGAGAAGGCGCCGTATCTCCAGTGAAGCTCACCACAGTCTAGAAGGGGTGTGGGTACATCAGCGGGCACTACCCAGCGAGCGCCACGCCGCTGTGACTTACCCACCCGTCGCTTCTTCCCTGCACCCTGAGCTCCAAGTGATCCTGGCCGGGATGTGGCCAACATGTGCCTCGTTACCTGCCCCTCACCCTCACGGGACTTGGCTTTGGGTACACCACACCCACATGTGCTCTCACCCACGGGCCCCGCTCCGGAGCGGAGCCCGGGTGCTGCTCAGCTCCCAGCAGCCGCTGTGTCTCACCGAGGGTTTGTCGAAGATCCTCGCACAGGCTGACGTGGGGGAACTGCAGCATCTGTCGCCATTTCTTACTCTTGCCTTTCCGGTTTCCGCCACCACCTGCAGGGCACGCAAAATCGGCACCGTGAGTTGCAAAATCGGCACCGTGAGTTACGACGCAAGGACGCCCGACTGCAGCCTAGCCTTGCCGGGAGCCGCGAGCGGAGACACCCTCTGTCCATCTACACGAGCAAGCCCGGGCAAGGAAAACAAGACTGAAGTGGTACCGCTGCCTCCCGGCTGCTGGAACAGCCGTGCTACAGCCTCCGACTACCAGATGGAGCGGACGGACCAACCACTCTGGCTGCTGAACAAAGTCCCAGCCAAGAACGAGAAGACTTTCACCTGGACACCCCAGTTAGCTCGTATTTAAGATGGGAGAACAAGGGCAGGGGCAGAAGTGCCTACAGCCACAGCTTACTCCGTGCCTGCACAAGGGTTCTTGGCTCCTAGGCCTGTCCTCAGGACCTCTGAGTAACTAACCACCTCTGGAGGCCGAGCGTGAAGCTCTTCCTGCTGCAGTAAAGATGTTCATGCCACCTACTCATTCCAGACTGATTGCTTACTCCAGGGAGGGGCTCTCAGAGGGAGGACATGAAGCTGGGAGACAGGAATTCCTGCTCTAATCCCAGCTCCACTGCATCGCCCGGGGCTCATCACTTCAGTTTCCCACCTGTGAAGTGGGGACACTCCCACCTTTCTCCAGAGATAAGCCAGCCTCCGAAAAGCAAGATCCGAGCACCAGATATTATTCCAACTTCAGTTGCTGGAGTAAATGCCCAGTGCTGTAGGACAGGGTGGGAAAGCTTCTGGATAGACCAAAAAAATTTACATCATAGCAAGCGCTAAGTACTGAAATACAGATTGCTGGGATCAGCCAGCCTCCAGGGACTGCCTTCCCTCCCGCCCGGTGCCAACGCACAGTGTCCCACCTCCCTTCGGAAATCCACTGAACCCCCCTGCCCAGCTGGGCCAAAGGCACGGCTTTCTGAGATGGGGGGGGGGCTGAACCTCATTTATCAGCTCTTGAGAAGCACTTTCACAATGCTTTCCTCCACAGCGGATGCAGTTCAGCCCCTAATCCCAGACACAGTCCCCGGGCGCACGATTGTACAAACTCAGGAAGGAAGTGACTCAAGGGTAAGCAGGGGTGGAAGAAACCAGCAGCACAGACACCTTCTTGTCAGCCACGGCTTGCGGCGACGGAACGGATGGGGACAACGGAGTGAGGGGACAGGAGGACAAGCCACCCTCACCCCAGGAGCGCTCAAGGGAAGGCAGAGTTGTGCCCCGCAGCACCCGGAGGACGAGGACCGGCGGCTTGCACTTCCTGGAGTTGTTTGCTTTGGAAGGAGGCTCCGGCACCCTCCACGCACGGCTCTCCCCCGCCCTCCCGGCGCCGCGGCAAACCGCCCAGCACGGAACCTGTCTCCCGCACACCAACCTCCCCGCACCCCCATTCTGGGGCTGGGGCAAGGGGTGGGCCACCTCCACCCAGAGCAAGCTTCAGGGCTTGCTGGTTCCTCAAAGTCGGCCTGTTGTCCCTCTGCCAGAGGCCAGCGGGCCAGGGGGACAACGGGGGAAGGATCCTTCACCTTCCCTGGGCCAAACACTCCTAGAAGAGTTTGAAGGAAACGCAGAGCGCGGTCATCCCGTGGCAGCGGCTGAAGAT